TTTTGACAATCTTCAGAGTTTTGACAAGGTACATACTAATTGTTCATTAGAGTTTCGACACAGTTTCGACAGTCACTAAGAAGTTTCGGCAAGCAACATTAGCACTTGCTTTACCACTTACATAGAATAAAAGGCAACACTATCATATTATTTTCAAAATACTCTTGTTTGTAGATAACAGGATGCCAAGTATTCTGACAAAGTTTTATAACTTTTGAAATGGATCTAGGTTGATAAAGGAAAGTTTTCTCTATGCATTTAGTTGTTCACTTATTGTTTATTGATCAACAAACAAATGACATAAAAAATTTGAGTAAATAAATATTTTTTTTCATAATGAGTTATTTTTATTTGCTTTAATTATTTTTGTTTCTAATTTGAAATAAACTATTAGAAAATAGCAGATAATAACATTAAATTACTTAAACACACATTAAACTTCTCACCAATTTTTTATTCCTAGTAAAAATTCCTATAAAAAAAGAAAGAATAATTTTGAATGCAAAACATTAATTAAATAATTAAATAACATTTATACATTCAAACATAAATGTTATCTTTTTTTAAATCCATATTTCTTCCGTTCATAAAACAAATCTGTTTTAGAAGATCCTAGATTCACAATCTTTGGACACCCATCTCTCTATAAAAACAACAATAATTAAAATCAAATAAACCAATAAAATTAATTAATCAGTATACACATACATCCTTTTCTTGCAATACACATTCTTTACAATAATATGCATCAGATACTCCAGGAGCACCACAAATCACACAACGACCTTGATACGAACCATAATTACATTCATCACATATTCTAAAAATTTTGTTTAAGATATAAATATATATTAACCATGAAGGTTCAAATGAATTATAAAAGTAAATAGAGAAAGGGTACTCACCGAACAAGTGTATCAGGTCTCACATATCTATTATTATATTAAAAAAAACATATAAATAATAATATTACTATTTGAAAAAACTTTTGTTTGTAAATACTTGCGAATCACAAATCACACATTTTCCATCACACTTTTCACAAAGACGCCCAATAGCTTTGGAATAATAATAATGTTGTTAATATTAATATTATATAAAAAAATTTTTTTGAAGAGAATAAATTATAAAGTTGACTCACCAATACCAGGTTGTTTTCTACACATTATAAGATCTGGATGATGCTTTGCCATGATTCAAGAATAATTTATCAACAGAGAATGAAAAATTTGAAAAAATTGTGTTACAAATAATTTATTTAGGAACCTACAATCGGTACGACGTGTAAGAAAAAATTTTACTTAACAAAAAACTTCGAAAATGGAATAAAAATACCATGCAAGCTTTTCAAACTTACTGAGATCTTAATTTACAAATCGTGAAAACTTTCTTTTTATTTTTTCCTTAAATTAGTAAGTTTTGTCAATTACTAGTATATTGGCTATTTATATCTATTAAAAAATGCCGATTGTATTGTAGTTTAGGAGGCAAGAAGAATTAATTGTTTTTTCCTTTTATATATTTTTGTTTTAATTATTTTACAAAAAATAATAATAAATAACACCTGAATCTTTGGCAAAGATTAGTATGTTAACTAAGTGACAATTCATCATTGATTTATCATTATGACATTGCTCTACGGTGAATGAACAATTAAAAGTTCTATTCTATCAAACTAATTTGTGATAATCAAATTATTACTTTGCCAACTATATTTTTTACATTGTAACTCTTACTTAATGAATCAATATATATATCCACTAAATATTTATTAATCCCCCCAATCTTCAATATTTTCAGGATTATATTGCTGGTATAGGAGAGCTATTCTATATAGTTTTAGCAACACATTTTGTGCAGATGATAGAGTTGTTGTATTTGGGTTTCTGTAACTGTGTAATCATCAATGTTGAAACAAAATAATTTATGTTTATTTTCTTCTGCTATTTTTCTTCACGGTTTTAAAGGCTACTGGAATACCAAGTCTTGACATTATATCAATAGCTTCAGAAGTTGTACCACATGAACATAAGTAAAGTCCAATTTCTAATTGAAGAGAATTATTAAGTTGATTTCCTAGACCAGATGGTAAATAACAGAACCCAACAAGAGATTTTTTGTGATTTTCTATATTACTATCAGACATATTGGATGGAAGAAAAATATCAACCAATTCATCAAAAAAACCTTCTAATTGTGGTTCATTTTCTTCAATCATATTCTGGAACTTTTTAGGGTCTAATTCTATTTCCAATTGCAATTGCCTTTGTTTTTTATACAAAGTTTTTGACAATAATTTAATTTTTTCTTTTAATTGATTTAAATTTCTAATATTAATTTTTTCATATTCTCTTATTTTTTTTTGCAT